TGAAGTAGTGGGCTGATCCATAGAAGATGTGTGGTCAACGACCTTGGGCCCGGTCAAAGCCCAGTTTTGAAGAGACTTTTGTCTTATTAGTTTGCTCCCACTAAGTGAACTTCCTTAGCCTATAAATAGAAGGCTTAAGGCATATGTTTACTCACAATTTCACAAACCAATTCACCAACTTACATACTTTCTTATTCTTTTGATGCTTCTTTCCAATTAATCTTTGTATTGAATACTCTTTAGAATATTGCTTTTGGTTCAAGCTTTCGGTTTCTTTGTTTCCAAATCAAGAACCGATTTTTGTAGTGAAGTTGTGATTACACTATCAAGTTTTTGTTCCAAGTTACATTGTGTTTTCTTACTTTTGTTACTAGTTACGAATTAGTCGATCATTGTTGTTTTACATCGGATCTCATCCTTTGTGGCTCACGACTAATTTACGTAGACTAAATAATCTGTTTTTACGAGTTTGTAAGTAACTTTTTCGGTCTTTGTAACGAAACTTGTTTTGCAAGTTTTGTTACTTGACTTGCAAGTTTTCTTCCAAGTCAAACTCTATTTCCAAGGTTTTCATTAGTCAATTCTCATCCCATCAAGTACTTTTCCTTCATCATTACTAGATTAATATTAATTAATATTATTTAGTTATTAATAATTTATATTTCAGTCCTTTACATTTCAGTCTTTATATTTCAGTCTTTACTTTTCAGTCCTTTACATTTCAGTCTTTATATTTCAGTCTTTATATTTCAGTCATTTATATCTCAGTCATTTATATTTCAGTCCTTTACATTTCAGTCTTTACTTTACTGCAATTTACATTTCTGTCATTTAATTTCCAGTACTTTACTTTCAGTCATTTATATTTCAGTCATTTAATTTCCAGTACTTTTAAATTCCAGTATTTCCATTTCCTGTAATTTACTTTCTGTAATTTACTTTTCCGTCTCAGTTATTTATTTTTTAGTCCTTACATCCTTCGAGAGAAGAAACCGAGCGATGATGGGCTAACACCTTAGCTTGGGGTGTAACGGAAAATTAAGACCAAAGCCGATGTAAAAGTACAAAGGTGTCTTTTCTAACATTATAGTCTACTATTTATTTCAGGTGCTTAATATTTCATTTGATGATTACATTAACATTAACTGACAACTAATTTTGTGTATAAAGATGTATTGACTTTCAAAATCTGAGGTAATAAGAGAAGGCTATAAATAGTTTTAGTGTCTGACAAACGCTATACTCCTACGGTGTAGGATGGTAACAYTGTGTTGTGCTAGGATTCACGACGTCTAACATAAATGATATCGTATCGATAGCACGTTGACCAGTGTGTGCTCTTGGGAGGCCGTCTGACCCGATAGTTGATACTGTAATAGTTATATAAAATCATTTATTGATTTTAGATAATTATGACATGAATGCTATGTCACCTTTTTACTGAATCATTTGTTTAATGTCTTAATCAACTGTGGCACCTGTGCTTCTTCTTAAGACTGATATTTTTCTTAGTTGTTAATCAAACCTCCCCATTTTAAATAAATCAAATCCCTCGATTCGCCATATGAAATTAATTTTTATAAACTGGACTTTTGAAATAACTTTACAAGCTATCTCTGTGGGAACGATATCTGGTATTTTACCATTATTACTTGTTACGAGACGACAGTAGTTCGAGGTATATACTTGCGCCGAGTTCTATTTTTGTGTTAAAATCTAAGATTGAATAAACCGACAAGCAATAATCTTTTTTGCTTGTGTTGTCTCTCAAGATCCAATGGCTGCGCTTTTAGGAACTTCATTTTTGATTCCTTCTGGGTGAGAGAGTTGGAGGTTGGTGAAGGACTATTATGAACTATCTGGATAAGTTCATTATGGAGTCCTTGTATCTTGAACCTGATCTCCGTGATCATACCTTCGAGAGTCTGCACTTTTGTCGTAAGAACCTCTTGTGTCTTTATCAGCTTTGTCTGCTGTGCCAGAATGGTTTTGAGACCTTTGTTTTAGGCAACAGAGTTTTCACTCTGCCAGTTTAGAGTGGCTTCAACATGACTGATGATGGTGGGGTTTCCTTTCGAACTTATAGTTGTGGGAGTCTTAATCTTCCAATCATGCCTCGTTCTTTGGTTGGGATGTTCGAAGGGACTGAGTGGTAGAAATTCTTCTTGGTACTCGGATGGGGTTGTCGGTGTTATAACACAACATTCACCTTGGGACTGGTTGGGGGGCTTATGAAAAGGTGAGGTATGACAGGGTTTGAGGGTTGGGTTAGAGGGTGAGTTTCCATACAGAACATAGTAATCGAACTTGCTAGATGGTTCACCTAGGAGTCCAACAGCAGGAATTCCTGCCTCATATGTTTTCTTTATCTTCCATTGAGAACCCTTTTGGGGAATATCTTCATCGTAATCAACCTTGTATGCTTCGTCCAAGCAATCTTGGCAGTTGCATACATCGTACCAACAATGTTGGTCTTTTTGTAGCGATGTTGATGACTCTAATGGTTGGATCATGTCGATGGTTGGAAATATGTTTGTCTTTGTTTCTCTGTTCGAGAATTTGACTTCATTCATTCCATTTTTATGTCGAATGAAATCTGGAGCTCTGTTTGTTTCTACAGGGCTTGATGGATTTGTTCGTAATTGATTACCCATTTTTCTGGTAGAAGTTTGAGTAACTCCTCTCTGGATAACTGTCTTGGAACATACGTGCATGTTGGAGTGGCACTTGAATTGACATCAATAAGCAAGGCATCTCCCGGTATTACAGATCAATCCTAGTCCACTAGTACCAATAGGCAGTAGAGGGGAACCGAATATTTCACATAGTGCTTTTAATCAATCTGATTTATTTCGTACCCTTSGCTCAATGAGAAAATGAGTCCAATTCTAAAGGATCAAACCTATGGGACTTACGGAATAAAATCGGGGTTTTCCAAGTTCATGGCCAAGTACTTATTACTTCTTGGGTTGTAATTGAGTTTTTACATTTTCCCTTTCGCTCGTAGTATGGGGAAGAAGTGGACATTAGAAGCACTCCTGCGTGTTCTTGTTCTGGAACCATGATGTCCAAAGAGTGGTCTTGGACCATATATGTCATTTAATAGTGAAAGGTTGCCTGGAAGGTATTAACTTGGGCAGTTCCACCTATCTGTATATGGGCTTTGAGGGCTGTATGTAATGAGGGATCATTGAGAGGCATATTGAAATTTGGATAGAAAGTGACAAAGATTGTTCCTGCTTTCAAGGTTGTTTGTGTAGTACCTATGCAAGCATGTTGGTATTCTACAAATCTGGTGTCAACCAAGGCGATACGAGAGAACGTTGGAAGACCTTTCCTACCATGAAAGGTGAGGGCTAATCTAATAGCTCCAAAATGGATATGTATATACCATTGAGCTAGGCAATGCCTTGGAAGATCTGTTAGGAGGGATAATGTCACTAGATGTTCGGTAGTGGTGGCCGGGAGTTGGTGTGAGTCAAACTTGGATGCTTGAACAAATTCTTTTACCTGGTGGCTTGAGCTGGATCCTATTAATTTTTTTACTTTTTTTGAAAAAGAGGAAGTTGGTTTGGAAAAGACACTATAAGAGTTAACTATTGGCATACTTGATATGGGTATTTTAGAATCATCTGGGACATAGGAAATTTCGTATAACTGATCAATCTTAGAGGCAGAAGATTGACGAAAACTTGAGGAGTTTGAAGGCGAACGGGAGTAAGAAAGATTTGGGTTCATGATTGGGTATGATATTCTTCCTTGGAACAAAGATCCATTCTCAATTCTTGTTTAAAAATGTAGATGCGACTTCTCTTACGTCGACTTACAAATTTTTCACCAAGAAGATGAGAATAAAAAAACTTCTAGGGCCTAATATCGAATCACTCGACTTTATCTTTTAGATTGGTTTTCTGATATGAGAGATCTGTATAAAACGGCTGTCATAGAGTATACTAATCCAAATCTTAAAAGAGAAAGGAGGGGGACCGATGATAAGGCTCTTATCCTATTTATTGTTTGAATATGAATATTAACCTAGTATCCAAGCTCTTTGTTTCAAAACCAAAAGCTCAAATATTTATTCGACCTCGTCATTTAGAATTAATTTCTCACCTAATGGTCTTACAAGCCAAGTGACCAACACATGTCGTAGATATATGTCAAATACGAATTTACAAACTCTTGGCAAAATACCAAATGATTTGGTATTTATAAGAGAAAGATAAGTTAATTTGAGTTCATCCAATTGACCACGACAAGTGTCTAAACTGTCATATTATAGTTGACAAGGGTTCAAACCTTGCCTTAGGTGAGGAGGGTGTGTGAGTTTTATTTGTTCTATTAGCCGTATATTATATACTTCAAAAAAAAGTGTCTAAACTGTCATATTGTAGTTGACAGAAACTATTCATTAGATGGGCCGTCAGTGGACTCGCAGTTAAATAGGCACAGGGCTGACCATGACATTTTTTTTTACTAAAGACTTCAATATTTTTATTTTAAAAACAAATTTTCTCGAATTTATTTGTTTAGCAATCAATGACCCATGTTAAAGCTCGATATAACTCAAAAGTTACATTACTTACGAATGGTCGGATACGCTTCACATGATCCAAAATCCGGGAAAAAATATTTTCGGTTGATGAGGTCTAATACTTATTGTGAAACTTCACCTCAATGCTCAAACGTAATTCAAAAAGTTAAAAACACTTTCAAATATGCGTTCGTTGATACCACCTCACTCCTCAAAACAAGAGGATCTAAAACGTATTCAAATAGACAAAGTTTGGACCGATTGATTGAAAACTCAGGTCTTTTCATAAGACATAGTTTCTACGGAAACAATCTGGAAAGCAGCATACAGCACAACCCTCCCCATACCCCCACTTCGTATAGGATTTATTGGGTTCATTTGGTTTAATTTATACCAATGTTTTTATTATGCGTCTCTATGCTACAGTCATGGATATAAGCCTAAAGCATACGAGTTCAGTAAAATATAGTTCAAGATTTTGTACCACAGATTCACAGAAACTTTAGGATAGCATCAGTACGACTATGAAACGAAGAATACAAACACATAAAACAACGAAAAATGAAAATAACTCCCAAAATAATAGGTAGGCAACTAAGCGCCTTTGGTAGGACGTCTTTCTTTCCTTTTTCAGCAAGTTTTCGTACAAATTAGCACCTAATGAGAAGCCATTTTGGTAATGAAGCACTTCTATTCTTCATCATAGTCTTCATCCTCATCCAATTTTGAGTTGATTTGTGCAAGATGAGGATCAATGGTGATCCTATCTATTTCTGAAACTGACCACCCGGGATACTCACTGTTTGCAACTTCACTAGGTTCTGCTGATGACGAACCACCAGGAGCTGGGGCAGTTTGCGGTGGTTGTGAAGACGCTGCTGCTGCTGCTTGTGGTGGCGGAGGTGGTGGTGGTGCAGCACCTCCATCTGAGGCGGCAGACCCTTTATCTGTATTCTCATCAAAGCCAGCATTCAGATCAAAGTTCAGGGCACCTGTACTTGGACTAATGTCGGGTGCCATTTCAGCTTTCGGCTCTGAATGGTTGTCAGGAGCCCCCTGTGGGCTCAGGTTTTGCTTGCTAACCTGCTGAAAGGATAGTGTGCAAGATTCCGATTCTGGTTCTATCTGTGGAGGCTCTCGTTCTGCAGCAACTCTGCCTCGGCCACGTCCTCTTCCTCTACCACGACCTCTGCCCCTGCCACTGCTGCTTGTGTGTCCTGCTTCATTCTGTATCAAAGATTACGGTTTTATCAAGTGAAACTCGGTTAGGTTTTAAGTCAACATTTTATTTCGGAACTTCAATCCTAGTACTTTTGCAGGTTAAACTTGAGATGAATGAATCTAAATTTTAGCTCACCCTTTCTTGTATATATTCCTCAGTCCTACAAATACTGCAACATTTAGTCCTACATGCACATTATACACACAATGAGGGAATCCCTTTACCAAATGATCAAATACCCCTTCACACATAAATGCAACATATCTAGCAGACCAAACCAAAAACAACAACTATTTTTAATGATTGTAAGGGATCGATATGTAAATTCAACTCTATTTTTGTGATTCTTCCTCAAAATCTCGTTCTAATATTATTTTAGGATGGAGGGAGTAATATTGTCTTGTCATTTAGTGTAGTTATCAAAAGTTCCTCTACAACTAAACCACTTTTAGCAACTTAGAATATCAAAGTTAGTGCATTTGAAACTCAATTGTCAAATATGAAGTCTTATATGGAAGACTTGAGAGTGAGCATTGCGACTGTAGGTAATAGGTCTTATCTTTGTATTTTCCTCCATATGATACTCTCAACCTAGTCTTTTTGTGGAAGATCACAAATTGATACCCACCAAAAAGTGAACATTATTTATCATCCTGCACCTGTCCACTCAATTTATACAAGCTACAATGGCCATGCTTCCCTTCACAGAAGCATGACCGAAATTGCACCTTTGCAAGATATTGTACAATTGACCACTTAGAAATGGCAGTATCTGAACTCCTTCCATGGTAATTCTACCTGCAAAATGCTTGAACACATCTTTATGGAAGATTTATCTATCTATATGGTAGTATTTGATGCAATTCAGATGAAGCTGGCTAGAGATGAAAGGATATTGGTCTGTGGGCTTAAAAAGATGAGCAAATAAGAAGAAAGCATTAAGTCTCCAATGCATGATTGATTTTATGAGGAAGTTTTCTATTGAGAGTAAAAAGTTCTATGAGTTGCCCATGAAGTGTATAAAAAGGCTCAAGTTCTGTACAAAAGTTTTACCTAGATAGTAGATACCACTCATTACTTTTAAATTTAATGATGAGATACATTATCTAATGCCAATATAAGGAGAATCCAATGGTCACACGCTTTAAACACTTTTGGGTATGAAATCAATCAACCAAAGTGTTCATTAATTAGGCTTATTAATTATCCAATTAATTCAATTAATTAAATAATCATGAAAATGCCCGAAGCTACACACAAGTACCAAGAGTACTATAGAAAGCTACAAGATAAAAGAGAGCCCTACAACATGTTAGAGAACACGAAAGCATCCAAGAATTCCCTAAAGGGTATTCTAGGTTTAAGGTGTCACAAAGGTATGCTTATACATGGAGTGAGAGGCGAAGAAGGACCCTAGATGGGGTGTTACATAAGGTGAACACCTATGGTTCACCTCACAAAGGTAGCGGAAATATGACACAAACATTACCAGCAAGAGCTTCTAGAACTAAAAGGTACACATATATGCAGGTCAGAACTCCAAATTGGTACCTAAGAAATAAGTTGGATCTCATTTGCTTGTTTTAACCCAAAGCTTTGAAAAACATTTTGTTTGTGGTACTAGACACATGCATCCAGTACCTTGAGCAACATAGAGACTAACTAGTATGTGACTAGTTCACCATGAAGAGATCATCATGTTGAGAGCTTAGGCAGTTAGACCAAATCACCAAACTACATATGCAACAGGATACATGACTTGAATGTTAGCATGGTATGAGGCCATGTCTATCAGTAACGAATGACAAGATTATTGAACATCCATATGGAATGCATGTAGGATAGAATCACTTTCAATGGTGGTCCATAATCAATGGGATGGGATTACCTTTAGGAATGGCCTATGGCCTGCATACCAAATGCACAAGAGGTCATGTTACTTTGAATGGACAAGGTCATGGGCAAGCATTGAGTCAAGGGATGACTTGGAACTCATGGCCCTAAATATCGAGAGTTAGAACTCGTGTGTCGGCCTTTAGCCAATGGCTCATTTAGAGATTCTGGTGGTCCAATATACTGTGATGTCTCCTACTAAATGTTACATAATAAATAGTCATCGCATTGCCTATTGAAAACACAAAAGAAAGAATATGAAACTTCCTACAAATATCATATTTTTCCTTTCTAAAAAATGCTCTTAATGTTACAAGGGAAACCTCATTTTACAATTTATTGCACCCAGGATCAGTTGGTTGCATTTATTTTATATAAAACAAATTAAAGAATATTGGTGTTCCAGCCACTAAGGAGTTCTATCAAAAGGTTAAATTCAATTGCAACTAATAAGTGATGGGAGTTTCCAAACATCAACATTCAGAGGGCAAAATAGAAAAGGAAAAAGAACAAAGGGGTATATGTATCACATTATTAAGTTTATGAAATTAAACTTTTATCCATCCACTTTATCGAAGAAATGGAAAAGAAAAAAAAAAGCGAGAAAATGGTTTTTCCATAAAGAAGCGTTTAAAAGAAAAAAGGAAAGAATACAAGATAGGAGAACAAAGCAAGAACTGGGTTCTACAAAACGAGGGTAACAAAATTAACAATCAAGTGAACAAAGTATATGAGATTTTCTTAACATAAATACAAACAACACATATATGTGTGCACAAAAACACAAACCTGAGTTTGATTTCCAGCTTTGATTATTGATTTGTGTTCTATTATATTGTCAAAATTAAGCAGGGTTCGGCTCTGGTAGGGAAACTCTTCAGTGTTTGTAATGGCAGGGTCGTCTGTGTTTTCTTGATTTTTTAGAAGGCTGTCTAGGTGACTCTATTCAGATATAGTTACGTAATGGCAGTGTCGTCTTGTTTTCTTGATTTTCCAGAATGATCACCACTTAATGCATCTGACATGTGGTTTTCTATTATGTTTACAGCCTAGGATATCAAGTTTTTAAACTAATTATTTAAGCGAAAAACCTCACCAATTTGAAACAGAAAGTTCGCAAATAAATGAAATATAGGGAAATTTTGGGTTACTTTAAGTTGGCGCATCATCATTATGTGTACTAGATATGCATAGAGAACAAGTTAGGTCTATGGCAATTTGAATGCCATTCTGGTGATTGTGGATGTCAGGTAAGGTGGTGATGGGAGGTAATTGCAATTCAGTTGTAGTGGCATGGCGGTTTTGTGTCTGTTCGAATTTAGGGCAGTGATGGTGTGAAACTAGCCAGTAAGATTCCACCACCACCCCCTAAAAAAAGGACACGCCTTTCTTTCAGACGGTTAACCCTTAAAAGTTACACATCAAACAATATTAATATATGCAAAAAAACACCAGGTGAAACAAAAATAAATCTATTACCGTCCTATTCCTCTTTAATTCTTCATCACTATCATTCACTTCATCAGCAGCAGCTTTCCTGGAATAAGACGATAAATTGCATTTGTTAAGAAAGACAATTCCAGAAATTAAAATCAATGAAAATCAGTTTAAGAATCACTCAGTAAATAATGAAAGAGGATGACAGGAAGTTCTACTTTCTCTTTGCCATGTTACGGTCATCTGCACCAGCTTCTGAATGGCCATAATCAGGGACCTTGCCGACAACTTCCCTCAGAAAATCAAACACGTTGTAGCTTTGAACACAGTGCTTTCTGAAAAAATATAAACCAATTGATGTATTTCAATAAGATTTTTAATGCCAAGCAGCTTCAATATATCAGAGACAGAAAAGAATATATCCAAAAGACATTGGAAATCAAACACAAAGAAGATTGTGCAACATGATTGAAACTTAATCCATGCTTGTAAACAACAAAGAGAGGAACCCCTTACAGGATTCACCAATACCTTCAAATATATCAGAAAGATCCTGGTGGCCCTTACAGATAATATATGAAAGAAAAGGAAAATAAATGCATTTCAGCTTGAACATTCCCTGTTTAAGAAATCCACATTAAGTACCTATGAGTCCCCCTTATTTCCTCTAGGTTGACCTCTAGAGCTTGTGCCGCTTTAGCAGACATGATGACAGCTAAGCAATCCAGACAGACCAATTGTGTACTCGCATTCTCGTGAGAGGAAACTTATCAATTCTGCCATGATAAAAGAACTCATCTACAAGACCAATTGCATTACTCTTCCTAAAAAACAGTTTCTCAATTTAACCCATGTTGTTTGTGCCTTAAAGGAACATCCCGGGTTTGGAACCTGGAAATATAGTTAGTTATAGTGAAAAATCTTTCCCAAAAGAAGAGGGGCATTGATTTATGAGTCTGGAGGACTGGAACAGAGCAAAAATCTCTATCTCTGCTTCCCAAGTCCTGGTACCCATCACATCTTCTTAGCATTTGATACACCATACTGCTGAAAGAAAACAAATTTTGGATTATCAAGGTCACCTTAACATGCTCTTGAATTTGGAAAAAAGTTTCTTAAATATAGAGAAAACATTGCGTATCATATCTGATACACTATTTGAGATGCGAATGACATTAATTTGTGGCTTGATAACTGGCTCATCATGTCATGTACTCCCTCTGCACTTATTTGGAATTCTAGGTTAGAGGCCAACATGAACATGTGTGCTATGTTATAGAATGGAGTTTGAATCTCCCTACCTTTAAGGGGTGCTTGTAGCCAGCCCAATAACCCACGTGAAGTTAACTTATCACAAGGAGTGCTCGAACTGCAAGGTAATGGTTTACATTTGGGAATAGTACAAGGACTAGGACTAATAAGGTAGTTTGAGGGATACCATGTGGTTTAAAAGTCACATTGTCAAATGCTCAATTAAATGGTTGTGTTGGCGTCATAGGGTGTATGCTCGAGATCATGTTCCCATGTTTTTTGTAGTGATAGCTACAGAATATCTAATATATTCTGCTACTTCCTCCTCTTATATGATCTAGAGTGTTTCATGATTAGATCAACAATGAAACTCCTTTTTCCATTTCCAAGAAAACATGTGTCCATTTTCACCACCCTCCATTATATTATAGGATGTCAAGAAACCCCTCCATTGACCAGTTTTAGTGTTATGGGCAAATAATGTGTGCATCAAGTGAAAACAGGTTTTGATTAACACATGCATCATATGTATATATATTCACACATATACCTACCAATATTAACATAGATATTTAGATGGATGTGTATACATATATGCGTATACATAGGGTGTATGTGTGTGTGTTCCCTAATAAGAGAAGAAATGGAGCAAGTTATGAACTCCGCTTACTGTTCTTGACAAAATTAATACTCTTTCAGCTTCAAGTTGCTAGTTCAAGCAAGTTTCTCATAGGATCAACAACACAATGCAATAGGTTAGATTACAAAAGTACTTTACGTAACACCCTAATACAATCGTTCAGTTGAGGAAATTGAGTTAAGATTCAAAGCTTCACTTACAAATGTAGTGAATTAACAGTCTTAGCTCCTCTACGGAGAGTGATATCATATGTGCGATCACAAAGATCTTGCAAGAACAATTCCAACGCTTTGGCTGCATAAATGTAAGAAAAGAGTAAGAATCACAGAAAGTCTCACATCTAGGACCAATGCTTAAAAGATTAACAACTCACAAACTAATACTGGCACGGCCATGGCAATCTTCCCAACATCCTCATCAGCTTGCATTATCTTTTTAATCCGAGCCTGCAAATAATTCTCTGTGAGATACTGGGGTAGACAGAATTACATCGTTCTTTAATGTTTCTAATTCTCACATTTTTCACGCATATTGGACAAAATATTATTCATGTGTCTCTTATGAAGTTTGGATGTTCATTAAAGCAAATGAATATGGTAAAAAAGAAGTACATGGGATAGATATAGAGCCAAATTGGAACATTCAATTCTTTGACCATGGCATAACAACCACCTTATGAGATCTCTTCCATATGATAATGCCAAAACAAAACGTTTAATAACATTTAAGTTTCCTTGAAAACAGTAGCTTGCCATTTTCTGTAGAAGCCTGTCTTAGAATCCTAGGAATATCAATTAACAATGTTAACTAAAACAGCATGAAAGAAGAAGAAAAATACTAACTTGAACATATATTCTTCTTTTAACACGTTAAATGTTTTTAATATTCAATTGTGTGATGATAAAAAAAAAAATACAACAATTGAACAGGACTTCACATTACTGTAGGCTCTTGAGTAGCGGTTTGGAATCTCAAAAAGAATCCAGATCTCTACAACATAAACAGGAAATCGGACTCATATCAACATTTGAGACTCACATGATTCATGTCCATACGTCACATTTAAAAACTAATATAATTTCAGTAAAACTGGTTGATGAATTCCATGCATAAAGAGTAATACCTAGGGAAGTCCAAAACGAAGTTTGGATCGACAAAACCGCAGAACCGAACTGGACCACAGCGGAACTGTCTACATCAATTATGTTGTTGCATCTAGAATTTTTTAAAACTCAGTATTTGGTTCGGATCTCAGTTAACGATTTTTTTTCAAAAGTCCAATTCTTGGTTCAGTCCGATTCAAAACCAAAACCAAATCGGTTCTTTTTATCTTTCAAAATTGAAACAATATTGTTTAGGTTTGTATTTTTCAAATTAAAGAAAACCCCAAGTATGTATTTTAGCAAGGAGTCTTCTTACGTTTCTTCTTTTCTCAGTCAATGTCCATTGCTAGTGGTACACAACCAAGTACATAGTCCTTACCATCCTCAACACTTCTCTATTGATCATATTTTGCTGACTTTGACCAACTGATCGATCCAACTACAACTATGACACATTAGACCAAGACAACCAAATCAAAAGTCACTTGTTTTTCCTGCTTTCATATCCACCATCAACTCAATTCAACTTGTGACTTGACTCAAGCAAGTGGACACTTTTAACAATAAATGATCTGAAAGGATGGTAAGACAACTTACCTTCACAAGAAGATTAAGGGCACTTTTAAATCATCGCCAATGTAAAAAGGAGTCAACTTACTTACTAGTTTACTTGAGGATGCCACTGAGGTAGGGACCACAAGGAGTACCAAACAGATTCCTCTCTAGGAATTCAAGGGAAGCATACAATCCTTGATTAAGTAACTTGTGAGGATAAACAAGGTATAAAACATAATTACTGAAGCTTAAGCATGAGCAATATTGACATGTCTATTTTAGTGAGTGTCATGTATTAGGTAAAAACCTAAACTAGTACGGACAGGGGTCAATAGCTCTTGAGCATGTGGGATATGAGTTCTTTAGAAGTAGAACATAAACAATCATTCTATTTTCATTTCTATTGTAAAGCCTATCTGAAAGTGATGCACTTATTTACCTGGCATTTGTCTATCTAAAATCTATTTCTATCCTTGTATTTCCCAGAATTTGTGTTCTCCTGATCTTTCTTTATATCAGGTGGCAATATCTTTCATGTGTGCGAAAAGCTACCTCTCTAAATATGAGATGCACGATAAAATTCCTCTTAGAAAACCTTTGTGTAGATGTTCTACAGATACAAAAGCATAAAAATAAGGCCTTTATGCACCCCACAAGCAACTTCAATACCAACCTAAAACCTTTTCCCAGCAGAAACATTCCAAGTATCCTAATGAATTAGATCAAATCCTGAGCCATATAGACAATAATGTGTGTTGGCCCAGACTATAAGCGCAGGATTAAGAGTAATAATAAAAGGAACCAAAACATGATCCATATACCTATAGTTGATACCTTCCAAACCAAAAACCAACCTATTTCTATATCGGCAACTGTATCTGATTGTTCAATCACACCGCACACCACCCCAGAAGGAGATAGCTACACTTATGTATATGATGTCAACCCTAGTACTTTACCCAAATTGACATGAATTTTGTCTAATATCCTCCACCAACAATATCCTATTTGCAGCCCTAATTATAATAACAATACAGTTTAGCAAATTTTTCTTTCAACAGACTACAACTCACACTAATTCAAAATTCAAAAACAATTTGTTTGACGTCAAAAGTCAAAATTAACATTAGGGTATCAAGTATTCGAAGACTCCCTAAAATTGAGCTACCTGAAGTATTACAGATCACAAGAAATTCGCACCCATAGTTGGGAAGAAAGCAAGTTGATTATGTGTAGTTGCATCAAATTAGAAAGAAAGAAATGATTACAGGAGGAACTTACAGCAGGGAAACGTGTATCGAGCTTTTTCCTCATGGCTTCAGTACATCCAGAATCAAAAGATTTACCGTAAAAGAAAGGATGGTAAAGAAGAAGAGAATATGATCTGTAACAGTTACAGTTGTCGCCGTTAGGGATCTGATGACCAAAGTTGGATAGATCCGTATGAGTTGACTGCAATACAACAAGGGCATGCGTGCTTAGCTCCAATTATTGATCGGAATACCCTTTTGGCGTTTTCACAATGTCCTCTCCATTCATGAATTCATTTTAGACATTGGCTAAAATGCATAAAAAAAAAATCAATGATTATATTTTGAGCAAACTTCACTTTTGGTGATTTGTGAATGTTAACGGATTTCGCCCCAAAACTTCAAAAATTCGATTTGGATTTGTTTATGTTTCTTATTTTATAAATTATAATGGTTTTCCGTCTGCTCCAATTAAATAAAAGACATTATATTATTCTCTCTTTTTTTTATAAAAAAACATATAATATATATGGAGAGATGAAAAGTTTAAACAAAAACTATTTTTATTTTTTCAGTGGAAATATTTTGGCCATTCATCTCCAATAACTTATATTAAATAAATTTTTTAATTAGAATTGTTAATTAAAGTAAAAAAAGGAAATTACGGCCATTTTTTATTTAAAAATTTTCATCCGTTAGTTTTTAAACTAAATTGTCTTAAAAACTACTAACATATTAATCAAATAAATTATATTAAAAAAACAAGAATTTCATTTTCTTCGATATGTCAATCATCTAGATATAGTTTTTTTCTTCATTTTAAACGGTTTTTTTTACATGAAATGCTATATAAATATTTTTGTACGTTCATATTTGAATATGGATGTTAAAAAGTTGTTCTTTTTCGTTTTAACTGATGTATGAATTTTAGAGTTGTTATACATATGTCAACATGCATAAATATTCATGATGTATATTACATAGATATACCATCCCACGTAAAAAATGGTTAAAAAAATCTATATTGAAATTGATGTTAAATCAGGAAAAAAAACCTATTAGTTACTTTTAAGATATTTAGTTTAATCAAAGGGGCAGAAGTTTTTTAACTAAAAAATTTAAAATAAAAAAGTCAACTAAAGTAGGCGTGTGATTCAAGTTGAAATTAATTTTATTTTTGCTCCCAACCACTTCTTAATTAAGCATTTTATATTTTAAACATTGATTACTTTTTTTAATTTTGATCAATGATAAGAATTTGTCCTTTGATTTACAATGCAAAATTGGTTTTTATTTGAACTCTATCATCTCTCTCTATATATATATATAAAGAGAGAGAGGGTGAGATAGTCGGATTCATACGAGAATAATAAGTATTTAATAATACTTAAATAATACATTAACAATTAATTCTAAAAATAAATAATTAACAATAGTAATTGTTAGGTCACTTTGATCAATCTTCAAGATATATTCAATGAATCCATGGCAATTTATGATTTAGCCTTGAAGAACATGAGAGGAGAGATGAGAGAGTTTGAGAGGAAAAGTCAAACTTCTATTACGAATCTGAGATATTACAATGAGCTCTCCTTTACTCAAAATAAAGTTAAACACCAATTATATAGGGTCAAACCTATAGAAAAAAGTCAAAGTCAAACATCTCTATGAAAAGTCAAACACGGTGACTTTTATACAATTATAGACAATTTTATATTTCAAGACGAATACAATTATACACTGAATTTCATTCCTCACATTCTCCCCTTTTGTATTCAGACTTGAAAGAAATTGCGCGCTTTGAGTCTTGTTTGAACTTTGAAGCTTTAAGCACTCTATGTCTTCATCAAAACAGAAATCTTAAACTTGAACTTCAGACAATCATTAGTTGAGAAAGATCTTCTAACATTCTCCCTCTCAAATGTAGAACCGCGATGATCTTCTCTTTTGACAATGTAGAACAGAAACAATAACGAACAAATTTTAAACATTCTCCCCAATAATGAATTTCTTCAGATAAGATCACAAACATTCTTTCACGACGAGAAATCTCTATCAATAACCTGTTGAAATGATGATCTTCACATTCAACAACTCTCAGACATTATAGCATAAGAATAATCTTTTGTAATCATCTCCAGTCGCACTCCTTTTGAGTCTTTTGCCATCTTTAAAGCTACTCCCTCTTGATCTTTACATCAGATTCCCCTTATAATGTTCGGAATTGGACATTTCATTCATTATTACATACTCCCCTTATGATGAAATGAGAATCATTCCATCATACATAAGAATGAATGAAATCCTCCGCGTAAGCCGTCAATTCATGAAATTGTAAGTAGATCTTTTCAAATCCACTTATTTAATCTTTTCAGATTAAGGGAATGAGAAGATAACAGCCAATTTCAACGTATGAAATTGTTTTCAATCTTATAGAAAGATTGGTCTGTGAGTATAACAGATATACTCAGTACAACGGATGTACTGTATATATGAGACTTTTTGATGCTCATCTCACCAGGTCTTCCATTCAATCATCGATAGCTTAAAAATAGCATATCTATGAATGTTTTGGCAAATTAACATATAAAATGCAAAACCTGTGTAGTGTAGAAAGATAAAGCAACGTATGCTTATGTTTAGGCTAAAAAAGATAAACCTTATGGACTACACAAATTTATCAGACTCAATTAGTGATCAAAAAGACTTGAAGGGGGGACATATATCCTTCTGATTCAATATCAACTTTCTCTGAATTAGAAATTGATAGATGATGAGCTGCGTGCGCCAAGTGTTATTGAAACACTTATCTGTTAAAAGATAAATGAGTAGCTAGCGGAGTTGTGACAAGAATTGGCCTGGGCTTTGCCTTTTTCAATATTAGTCTCGAAAGAATTGAGAACTAATAGATAATGTGGTATGCCCGAAAATTTAAAGTTTGGAACAGGATCTTATTTATTCTTTTGATCCTGACACAACTCTTATCAATTCTTTTATCTCACAACTACCCCTCTCATTTTCATTTTAGTCTCAGCACACAAACCCTTTTGTATATAAAGCTCACTCAGATATGGTTGTCCTCATGGGTAGGTGTGACATTCGTCATTTTTGCAGCATCAGGTTAGCATCTTTAAAGAGTTCTAATAGTTAGGATTATAATTTATTAGGGTCTAGTCACGTTGATTAGAAATCAATTGACTTAGCTCCCAAATTGTAGTTCAGAAAACCATGTCCCAACGGGTAACTGATAAAGTAACTTATATGAGGTCAAATATATTAAAAATTCTCTTAAAATAAATAGAGTTGATATTATAAAATTCAAATTTAAAAATATAAGAGTTTCATTTGAACGTACAAATAATTTTACAAAATTGGGAATTTTGATTTAATAATAAATAACTTCATTGGTATTTGATAAAATGTATTTGAGTTAACTTTTTAGTTGGGTTGTAGTTTTATAAGAAAATAAAAATAAAAATAAGGTGGTTTGGGCCTTGAATGAGCCGGCCCCTTTATCCACATATAAAAACTCAATTTCTTTTGAAAACTTTCATTTTATCTTCATTTGGTATCATTTTCTCTCTCTCTCTCACTAAACTCTTCGTCTCCCACACCAGCCGAACTCATTTTCAAAATCTTCTTAGATTCCCTAAATCTTGAAGAACATCCAAGGCTTCAAGAAAAAGTGAGCAATAGGTAATAGATTAGTTTTATTAACTTTGTATCTTTTCAATCTTATTTCTCGTCTTCGTCACATTTTCCTCCTTCCTGTTGAGCTCAAAATTTTCTGGAGAATCTAAGAAGGGAGATTATTCATCAAGACATGAAAATGTTCCCAAAATGGTGATAATCTATGATCTACAAACTTAGAACTCAAGAAAATAGGGAAAATCGCATTGCATGTAGTATTTAATCATTAAAAACAATGTTTTGAAAACCAACAGATTGTTGGTCAACATATTCGCTGTTTGTGTTTTCTAAAAATAAGAATCCAAAATATTTGAATCATCTTTTGGAATCGTTGAAAAGCATCAAGTCTAAACCTTCCATTTGACCTCAGTTTTGATAAAATGCAATCTGTCCAGATTGCTTGATATGAAGAAAATAAGTTGAAGATATATAAATATTAAAATATTTCTAAAAAGGTGTGAAATTTGGTTAGAAGTTGTTCAACACAGTAACATTTGAGGTATAAAAAGTTAAAAGTAAAATGATTTTTGGAAGGTTCCTTTTTATAATGATTGGTGAGACCAAGATTCCAAAAATCGAATATTGCATGTCTGTCCAAATATTAACTTTTGGTGCAAAGTGTCACACCCCGCTAAAGCGGAAACATGAGGCGCGACAGTTAGGAGTTCATCGCACTAGGATATATTTAACACCAACCATACATTCATAGCCACAACAACAAAAAAATATCCAAAGTTTAAAATTACATTCACCGATTACATTTCAACAGAAACACAGTTTTTAACAAAAGAAGTTCGTTACAAAAGGAGTTCCTTAAACAAAAATCCAACTTATGTTCCCCAAAGTGGATGCAAGCAAGAACGTAAGATTATCTACTTTTCCACTACCTTCTTATTTCCTGAAAAGCATATTAAAATCGAGTGTCAACTACAAAGAGTTGGTGAGTTCACAGGTTTTATATGCACAAATTCAAATGCAGCAAATCCCAGTTATAAGTTTATGAGAAATATCTTAAAAACAACGTCATACACATGATATAAATTGTTGAGCCACTACTAAACCTAAACAACTTTCAACGCCCCACGAACTACCTCAGAGGTGGTAGCGAACCACATGGGTAGAGCATTCTTATGAACTACCTCAGCGGTGACTACTTCGAGTCACATGTGTAGAGCATACTTTAATGACCAAGTGCACCCCTACTCGTCAGTCAAAAGGGTGGGTATGACAACCAAATAATGCTACCCACAAGAATCATAGGCTCAAAATGAGTTAATAGTAGTGTAAWCAAACGGGGACTTTCAAACTCAACATACCATCAATAGTGTATACATTTAATTGCTCACAACAAGATTCATATATCAATATAAATCTATCAAACATTTCTTTAATTATACTTTCCACCCCAAATACGTAAAAACGATAAAGAGAGGGGCCGTGAATACTCACCTTGAAGTAGTGAATGCGAAATACGGTGATAACTTGAATCTTGGTCTGATGGTTATAAGTGCCCTATAGAAAACATCAAGCTTATAAGTCCTAAATGCTAATTCTTATG